AAAATCAGCTGAACAAGGAAGACGGCATTGATCGGCTTTGATCGTATTAAAACATCAATACTCTACAGTGAACTGCCTATGTGGGCGAAAAAACAACTGTTTGATTCAACCATCTTAGCAGCCGTGATCTAAAGTGCTGAATGTTAGTTGCTACCAAAATCGAGCATAAAAACTGATTTTTCAAGCAAAGAGCGATGAAGTGAAAAATGGGCAAGCTGTCCATCCGAAATCACGTTCTGAGTGCAAAAATTCGACAAGAGCCTGAATTAATAGACGTAATTTCTGCCTCCTACGATGCAAGAGAAGATATGCCGATTATCTGGCTTGCCTGATAGACAAACAGAGGATATTAGGAATTACAAACTGAGTTTTACCGGACGAACGACGATGAATCGATCTTCCAGGAATATGATAAGATGATAAGCCGGTGAAGTTACTGAGTCAACGCAAACATAAAGAGAAAAATATAAAATGGAGTATGGACTTGCCTTCATATCTACACACAGCGAAGACGAACCGGATAATGGATAAGGAATACTGAAAGACACCGGATCTCGTTGGTCTCCTTGTCCTCTTGTGTTTCTTGAACTTTCACACCCGCACCAGTAACGTTGTTACATGCGTAGAGTAAATATGAGCCGAACTCTTGCGACGAAACTGAATCGTAAGCTTGTTCCTCACTCGTGTTAAATCAGCCTGACCTGCTGTTATTCAGCATTTTATGCACATAAACAAGAATCATATTCATTCAGGAAAAACAGTGGATTCTATCATTTGAATTATAAACGAATCAATCAGGTACACAAATAAAACTTTTTAGCTATGTTGAGCAATATGCATTGGTTTATCCAGAGCTTCGGGTTTCAGAGTGGTATTCAGAGAGAAATCTATCTTACCCTGAAGTTTTGGGCCGACCAAATTCACTACTTTACGGTGATGTTCACCCTATGCCACGAATTGTTGAGGAATCCCCGAAAATTCCAGATGCCTTTCGAAGTCTCCGGCTGGCTGTTATAGCCGTAGTCGATGGCCTTGCATACTAACTGATAATGTCCATCTTTCGATCTCGTCCTGTCCAGGGGAACCCGGCAGCTCCAAAGCGTCCATGCCCACATCTTGAACAACTTCTGGTCGGTTGCCTGTTCAAGGTCAGCCGTGTGCCATGTTTCGCCTCCGTCAGAAGACACATCAACGCGAATAATTCCTCGGCCTCCACCGCTAAGTGCGTATCCCTTTAAATTCACAAACTCTGTACCTATAAAATCAGCGCGGTGAAACGAAAGTAAACGAAGGTAAACAATTCAGTAGTTTGACATTACGGAAAAAATACCTCGTTTCCGACGGTGCAGACAGTGAAGTACAAATATTTTACAAACGGGCACGTTTCAAACTTTCTGAGAGATAATGAACTGAAGTGTGCATGCAAATGCAAACGCTTAAAGTGGCACTTGGTTACTGAAATACTATAAATACCGCAGGTTCAACATCTCAGTATTGATTATGCAACGAATTAGACTGAAGGCAGGACGACGAAGATATGGTTCACTACTAAAAGCTTTCGATCTTCAGGATGTGTGTCGGTTCCTAGTAGAGGAAGAAGTAGTGGAATAGTCGTAGTAGAGTCCTAATAGTGGAAGAAGAAGCATAACTGGCATACTTCCATAATTAAGGGCTTTACAGAACGTTGGACCCTGCTGTAACTTTTTGCTGTCGGGAGGAGGTGAAGGCGACCTTGCCACGGACAGGCGTTTTCAATGGGGGTAATCAGTGAAGTAACAAACTCTTTATATAAAATGTTCTCTAGCTAAGCATGATTTTGCAAGAACTCTATCTTCGTACGTACAAAATACAAACAACATCATTCTCTACTGATACATCAGCTGTGCCCTGACGATGCTACGGCATGCATCGCGAAACGCGTTGTTGGGTGCCCTCAACTATGAATCGGCAAACCGTCTACAATTTAAGCAA